AGCCTTTGCATGGAAACAATAAATGAACTTTATTATATACATCAGTTTAACTGCAATCATTACGTTCATTAATAATTCACTACAAGCAGATATTGAATTAGGGAGAGAACGGATGGTGTATCCATAGGAAATCTCAATATTTAATTCAAAAACTAGATATGAATTTTCAACCTGTTACCTTTGCACTTATAAATTAGTAATTATTCATTTCATTTGAATTGTAAAAAGCATACCGATGTAATAATATTTTAAAGTGTTTCTTCACAAGTTGATCTTAATACAAATATAGAATTAATCACATGGAGAGTTATTCATCAATTCAACAACAACAAAAAAACGCCGACTTATCATGTTGAAAAGGGAAGTAAAGTCATTATTATTATTCATGTGAATCACATGATACACCACAATAAATGTAAAAATGGTCACACGAACGCCCTACAAGTCAAACTGTTTTCTCAACAATCCTCACGTTGGAATAAAATAAACATGTTCTTGAGAACTTCAATATGAGATGGAGTTATGAGTGTGCTAACTAATCCACTCAATAAATCCCATGAAGTATCATTGACTGAATAACTTGTGAACAATGTGAGATGGGATAACTTGCAAGAGAGTAAATATTTCCCATGTTACTTAGTTTGAACAGTTATAACAATATTATCAATAATAACGATGATGATGATGATGATGATAAAACACAAGTGTTTTGGATACATCGTAAGTGATATGACGACTGATTTTGAATTCAGTTGAAACATTTAGTAAACAAATTCACTAAACGAAAATCCACAACAAATACAAATTCCTTTTTGAATTGTTTGTTTGAATATTCCCATTGGCGTTTAGCACTGTAATTGATCAGTTTCTCTTTCGCATATGTGCATTCTGTACAGATTGCCTCGATATTGCGTTAAGTCACAAGCAATGTAAGCAAAGATGGATGATGGCTAACAGTGGAATCCATTGTAACATTAAGATTTCGATGAGTGTTCGAAATATACATGTGAGTTGGCATGATTAGGGTAATAACAATATCGATTTGTTACCGAATTCCAAATGTTACAGTATTTATCAGTATTTGTTGAAGTAAACACTTCGTCATGCATTTCACAAAACACGTTTCAGATCGGTCGTAATGTGAAGGAACAAAGCGTAAAGCGAACATGTTTCACACTGCTAGGTTGTTATTCTCCTTTTCACTCATCACTTATATTAATGCATGCGATCTCGATAGACGACCTCAATAATGAGAGCATTTCTCATGGATCTATTCAGTAATTCTTGTCTTTATTAACATGTACCCTTTTCATTGAACCACTTTTTCACTGTCCCTTCAGATGCACACCCTTTCAGTCGCACCCTTTCGAATGGCTGCCCAAATGAAGGAGGTAAACCAATATGATATTGGGAATTTCAAATTCAACTCTCCTATGTATCTCTTCTTCACTCCGTTTTGAGAATACTCTGTACTTTTGACTGAAGAGTTTGACTTGATTGTGTTAACCATTATTTCAATTAGTCCAAATTTTCGAAATCGAGATGATTTACAAGTGAATAACATTTTTCAGAATAAAAAATCTGTGTCTTAATTCTCATTGTCTAGTATGTGCATATGAGATTTTGGTTCAACTATTTTCAGCTTATGTACTATGAGCTTGTTTAAGTAGATTATCATATAATGTGTATAAGTATCTGAGATTCAAAAATAACAATCACGGACATTATGTAAGTATGAAAAGTATATATATATATATATTCATAATATTACGATAGATTTATATTTCGTTAGTTGACTTGATTGTCATATAGTTGTGTAGGATTTTGTAAGTCCTACATTATATGAATCACGGTTTTCTTTGTATCAAGTACCAGTTTTCACACAAAGTATATAAATAAACACATTTATTGAGTATTTTTGTTTTAAATAATCCATATATGCTAAGATGGATGAAATGTATGGAATTTTTATTGCTGAACTATACATATTTAAACTGTTACAATGTTTGATAATCATTTGTTTTACTCTTATAATCTGACATGTCCTATGTAATGAATCACTAACCAGTAACTAACGTGTAAACGCTCTCTAATAACTGTATTATAATAATATTCAGTGTAGGGTTTGTGGTGACTGTTAAGCTTTTGATTGAGATCATGAACCGATTGATGTTAGACCCTGTTGGAAACCTGGAAGCACCGGACGTCCGTTTCGTTCTATTGTGGGACTCCTTAGCAGTACGCATCCACGATCCCGCTCGGGTAGAGACAGGGATCTACCTCAGTAGAATGGAAGATGGTTGCGCAATTCCGTGAGTTGGTTGATGTTCGACACTAACGCCATTGGATGTCAACTCAGTGGTCCAGTAAGTTAAGCGTACGCAGGCGAGACTGAAGGTCCTGGGTTCAAGACTCACGAGATAGATCGTGGATTCGCACTGCCGAGGAGTCCCACAATAGGACGAAACGGCCGTCCAGTACTTCTAGGTTTCCAACAGTG